TCCAGGTGGCCAAACTAGATTTGTTTGAATTCCTTTTTGGTTAGCCATCACCCTGAGGGGTTGCCTGGCCTGTAGTTGTTCTTAGGGAAAAGAAAGAAACATTATATCTGGAGATAATCAGAGCAGAATTTTTAGTCTAAGTCTGTTTACTCTCATAACTCTCCACTGTGTCATCCTGATTACTACACAAGAAGTGGCCAAGAGGAGGTGATTCCCTTTTGGTTATGCTGCATTCATTCATCTTACTAAGATGTGGGAAGAGATGAGGGGTATAGAGGTGTAGTATAAGTGGTTTTGAGTTGAATTTTGAGGAGACTTTTAAAATGCTTGTCTATACTTGTGAATAATAGTATGAAACGTCCATTGAGTACTTTGAATATTGATTCATTGCAAGATGACTTTTTGACAAAAGATGTACTGTTAATGAACTGTTCCTGGTCTGTAATATACCCAACACATTACATGAATTAATTTCGGGAGACACAATAGTGTGACCACAGTTAGCCCATCAGACTGCAGCAGTAATAATGTAACCTGAAAAAGTTTCAATCGTGGTACAACTCCGTTGAGGATTCCATGAAGAAATCAAATCTTCGATGTAGTTCTGTGTGATGTGGTGTTCTTTACAGTGAGACAAATGGACCAACTTTTGGCAGGAGTCACAAGATGGCATGCAGTAGAGGTTTCTGCATCAGAAAGATAAAGTCCTTTCTTTTGTGACCAGTCTGTGATAGTGGGTGTGTTCCATGTCTGGTGTGATGATGGGTCTAGGTGGTGTGCTGAAGATTTGATCAGCATTCTAATTTCAGTCACTCTCAATGCCATTCACTCTCATCAGATAGCAAGCCTTACTGAATCAACATGAGTGACTCAGATTGTCTCTTCAGCAGCTGCAGTTTCCCATCATGTGTGACTCCAAGAGATGTTTTTAATCGGCCAGTCTGTAGTTTTTCTGTGATAGATGAGATGACGAGGCTATTGGCAACAATACAAGAGTTAGAAAAATATAAAATGTCTTGTCCTTCAGAATATCTAAGGCAGGGATCATAGCTTTTATTTCATTGAGGTGATTGGCACTTAGCCATTTGGTTTTCCAGAGTTTGTTGGGGCTGGGTGGCTACTGTGTGTACCATCATCTTTTAACTTAGCTGAACTATCAATGAACCAGGCTCAATCATTTAGAGGAACTTTTCTGATTTGAGAACCTTATTGAAACACTGGCTTATCATGGTGGCAGGAGGGAGAATAAAGTATACTGCAAATTTATGTTTGGCACTTCAAGGGCGAGGCCAGCTGTGGTGTTGAACACATAATTTCCATTTGATCAGGAGCCCTCTTGGGTTCTTACATTGGTTAGTCCTTAGTTTAAGTTTACTTTCAGTAAGAGCTCAGCATTATGGCAGGAGCCACATTCTTTTTTTGGCTGACTCGGGATTGAACACGGAACCTTGGCCATGGCGGTGAACGCCTGGCATCCTAACCACTAGGCTACCCGGGGAGCTCGGCTTTTAAAAGGAGCGTGTACTTGGGGTGTGTCAGGCAGATGGCTGCAGTACTGGAAGATAGTCTTCCTGAATACTGCAGAGCCAAGTCTTCGGCCACATACGGTTTTCTTTTTTTCCTTCTGGAAGGTGTACTTTTTATTAGACCATTTTGAAGGGGATGGGAATCATCTGTCAACTTGTGACATTTCCTGAATGGGAGAATCTAGAGCATTTTTAGTACAAACATGTAACGTTAACATCAACTATGAAACACACTGGTACATTGAATTGGCCTAGTGGCCCCACCTGCAGGATTGCTTTAATTTCCTACTCTTAACTGCTGAGATTTTTCCAAATTCTTATCAGCCATGTTCAGATACTAGGGTCCATTCCCACCATGGGCACATAGACTGAGGAGTTTGTTTATTTATTTTTTAAAATTTATTTAATTGGAGGCTAATTACTTTACAGTATTGTAGTGGTTTTGGCCATACATTGACATGAATCAGCCATGGATATACATGCGTTCCCCAAACTGAACCCACCTCCCTCCCCATCTCATCGCTCAGCATCATCCCAGTGTGCCAGCCCTGAGCACCCTGTCTCATGCATCAAACCTGGACCTGCGATCTATTTCACATATGGTAATATACATGTTTCAATAATATTCTCTCAAATCATCCCACCCTCGCCTTCTCCCACAGAGTCGAAAAGTCTGTTCTTTACATCTGTGTCTCTTTTGCTGTCTTGCATATAGGGTCATCGTTGCCATCTTTCTAAATTGCATATATGCGTTAATATACTGTGTGGTGGTTTTCTTTCTGACTTACTTCACTCTGTATAATAGGCTCCAGTTTCACCCACCTCATTAGAACTGATTCAAATGCATTCTTTTTAATGGCCGAGTAACATTCCATTGTGTATATGTACCACAGCTTTCTTATCCATTCATCTGCCGATGGACATCTAGGTTGCTTCCATGTCCTGGCTATTGTAAACAGTGCTGCAGTGAACATTGGGGTACATGTGTCTCTTTCAGTTCTGGTTTCCTCGGTGTGTATGCCCAGCAATAGGTTTGCTGGGTCGTATGGCAGTTCTATTTGCAGTTTTTTAAGGAATCTCCACACTGTTCTCCATAGTGGCTGTACTAGTTTGCATTCCCACCAACAGTGTAAGAGGGTTCCTTTTTCTCCGCACCCTCTCCAGCATTTATTGCTTGTAGACTTTTGGATAGCAGCCATTCTGACTGGCGTGAGATGGTACCTCATTGTGGTTTTGATTTGCATTTCTCTGATAATGAGTGACGTTGAGCATCTTTTCATGTGTGTGTTAGCGATCCGTAGATCTTCTTTGGAGAAGTGTCTGTTTAGTTTTTTGGCCCATTTTTTTATTGGGTGGCTTATTTTTCTGGAATTGAGCGACATGAGCTGCTTGTATATTTTTGAGGTTAATTCTTTGTCAGTTGCTTCATTTGCTATTGTTTTCTCCCATTCTGAAGGCTGTCTTGTCACCTTGCTTATGGTTTCCTTCATTGTGCAAAAGCTTTTAAGTTTAATTAGGTCTCATTTGTTTATTTTTGCTTTTATTTCCATTACTCTGGGAGGTGGGTCATAGAGGATCCTGCTGTGGTTTATGTCAGAGAGTGTTTTGCCTATGTTTTCCTCTAGGAGTTTTATAGTTTCTGGTCTTACATTTAGATCTTTAATCCATTTTGAGCTTACTTTTGTGTATGGTGTTAGAAAGTGTTCTAGTTTCATTCTTTTACAAGTGGTTGACCAGTTTTCCCAGCACCACTTGTTAACGAGATTGTCTTTTCTCTGTTGTATATTCTTGCCTAGACTAAGGAGTTTAGTATATATGTGCATATCAGAGTTACAGTCTAAGCTTTCAGGACCTCTCATGATTTCTTTAGCGTGGAATGTGGGAAAGTTCAGGGAGGAGGGGAAGACTTTTCCTTTGGGGGTTGCATGGGTGGCCTGGAGGCTTTTTCTCTTCTGGCTTCTCAAGCCTGGAATGGTGTTGATTTCTCTTTTATGTACCTCCTGGCCCCAGGAAACACCCCAGCCGGGGATGTTTCATGCCTCCACGTACCACAGTGCCATGGCTTTGCCCTATACGGAAAAGGTTGAGTCACTCTTATGCTTAATACTGTCTCCCCTCCATGGGGCTGGGTAGGATGGTAACTTGGGTACCTGTGTGCAACAGAACTATAAGAGTTTGTCTGTTTCTTGCCTTAAGTTCTGGCGCACACTTTCTTGTTAAAGCAGCTGAGTTTGATGTGGGGAAGAAGAGTCAGAAAGTACAAAGAGCTCAGAATACATCCACTCCAGGAAGCTAGGCTTTGCATTTTTTTTGTTTCCAGTGTCAGTAGCAGTTTGGCCTTAACAAATTTACTTCTAATATTTTCAGTCTTTCCCAAACTCTCTATTCTCATTGCTGTTCAGCTTTGGTGACCTCTTGACTTCAGCGGCTACAGCCATATTGCCTTTCAGATGGGACCCCATCTCATGATAATACATCACTTCCTTCTACTCAGAGGAGAGTTTCAACATTAAAGCACTGTTTGGACATCTTGCTTCAGTCCTGCCCCTTGCCACTTGGTCGCTAAACAGTGAGGAACTTTCACCCATCATTTGGATGAGAACAATTGTTGCCAGGTGCTGAAGGATCTTATCCTGTGCCCCCGTCTGGCCTTGTTTTTCTAGAAAGTTTTAGCTTTGAGAGCATGGTATCTTCATCACCATAACTGGTAGGGTTGTGAAGTGTTTGGGTTTTTACCCTACTTAAAAGCTTAGCAAGCCAGGCTGTCACTGTTGTTTCATGGATGCTGGTGGAAGACAGATGAAGGGCTTTGTCTTTCATGCATAGAAGCAGCATGAGGATGAAGCCAGGAGCAATAGGGGAACTTGCATCAGTAAGTCCCACCGTGGCCATGAGGAGGAGCCTAGTTAAAGAGTGTGTGCAGTGTGTTTGTATTAAAACTGAGGAGCTTTTCTGTTTGTCCTGGAGAGAATTGTAATAATTGTTTTTACAACATTCTTCCTTTGACAGATTTTTAAAAGCACTTGTTTTGGGGAAGAGGAATTTGGAAGTAAATCTATAGAGAACTTAAAATAGAACTGTAGCTTGATTCGCCATAATTTTCTGATCTTGAAGAAAACCTTGAGCTATTTAAATCAAAGAATGTGAAATACACGATGCTATGTTTTATTTTAAAAGAAGTGTACTATATTTGCCTTGATGCTTTTACAGTGTCTTTACCTTTAAAGTTTTTGGGTGAATATAGTTGTTAAACTCTTTCAGAATGGTGCTTTGGTTTATCTTAGGTAGAAAAAATAGATGAACAGTGGAATCCCTCTTATAAGTTTTCAGTTACCAAACACATTGAAATAATTATAAAATATTCTACTTAACCACTTAAATTCTCGGGAATAAATAAAGCCAGTGTATTACTAGTTTCTAAAGTTAGTCAGATTTTATATGTATGTTTATCTTTATGCTTATAATTTGTTTCAGTCGTCACTGAATTTTGAAAAGCATTCTGAAAACTTTTCATGGACAGAAAATCGTTACGATGTGAACCGCCGACGACACAACTCTTCAGATGGCTTTGATTCTGGTATTGGACGTCCTAATGGAGGTAAAGTTGCTGAGGAATAGTAGAGTTTAAGAAGAATTTTCTTCACATTCTTGCAGGAATTGTTTTGACTGTGATTGAGTCTTTAAGCATAACCATCTTTGAATTTGTAATACTTTGCCATTATTTTAAAAAGGTAACTTTGGAAGGAAAGAAAAAAATGGATGGCGTACACATGGAAGAAATGGTACTGAAAACATAAATCATCGAGGGGGATACCATGGTGGAAGTTCCCGTTCTCGTAGCAGTATTTTCCATTCTGGAAAAAGCCAAGGACTACATGAAAACAATATACCTGACAGTGAAACAGGGAGGAAAGAAGACAAGAGAGAACGCAAGCAGTTTGAGGCTGAGGATTTTGTAAGTTGCTTGTAATTTTAATATGAATGAGGTTTCTACAAGTGTTATTTAAGCATCAGATCTCTCAGGAGATTTTATCAGTACATATCATTTTCTCCAGAGATCCCACTTGACAGGTTCAATTATTTTTTTATTTTTATTTATTTATTTTGGTTCAGTTATCTTTAGTCTTTACATTTCGTTAGGCTTTCTGTACGTAACTCTTTCCTTCCCCAATCTTCTTTGTTCCTTACATTTGTTTACTTATTCCTGTGTCTCACCATGTGGTTTTTTAAAACTTTGGATAAATTTATGTCATTTTATTCTTCATAGAAGTTAAAAAATTTCCCTTTTCTAAAGAGCAAACATCTACTAAGCTAAGCTTTAGAGTTACACATTCAGTGCTCAACTCAGTTTTCTTTTTAATAACCTGAGCATCACTATTTGAAGTAATAAACTTGTACTTTGCTTTGAGTGTGAGCTTGTTAACTAAAACGTTCAGGGATGCAAACCTAAGAAGAATTAAGGAATGGTCTGATTTCCTCTTGTCTGCTCTTAACCTTATGCTAAGAAAGGATGATTTCTCATTTTGATGCAAAGACTGCATTCTCCTGCATTTGCTTTCTTCTTTTTTTTAACACTTTTTCTTCATGTAGTTGAGGATGAGGAGAGTATTTAAAGACACTTGTTTTCTTCAACTTATCGTGAGTATAGATATTAACCATTTTAATTGTTACAATAAGCAGAAAGTAAGATTTATGAATAATTAGTGTTTAGTTGTTAAGAGTTCATTATGTCAAATTTGTCAGTATATTCCTGAGATTACTTTTAAAAGGAATTTTTTTTCTTAAATATGAGCAGTTTAAACATTTGTTCTTTTTATTCCACCTTTTTTTTTCCAGCCATCTCTAAATCCTGAATATGAGAGAGAACCAAATCAGAATAAATCTTTAGCTGCAGGTGTATGGGGTAAGTAATTTTTGATCTATCGTTGATGGGTATAAAATGTTATTTTTAGGTTTCAATTTGTGTTTTTTAAAATTGTAGGCTAGAATTAAACTATCTTTTAAATACCTGTTTTCGATGTGCTAAGCTATAAAAAAAAAGGTAGCACTTTAATAAAACAAGATATTGGGAACATAAGAAAAGCTTGATTTGGATAATTATTTACACATATTAGTACCATTAAGTATATTCAGATATGAGTTTTTTAAAAAGTAAGTTAAATGTAATGAATTGATATCATTTGGAGAGCAGCTCAATAATCTGTTGAAACAAAAAATTTAGTTTAACTCAACTTACAGTTTTTCAAAGTTGAAAACTTAACTGGAAAGATAAGTACTTTTAATCAGTGTGCTATAAAAATAATTTTTTACTTAATGAAAATGGTTCTACACAGACAGTATTAAAAGTAATTGTATAAATTTTGCCTAGAACTAGTCTATGTTTGAAATTATTTGCCTTTTTGGTTGTCAAATCTTGACAGTTTTTCTGGTAATGACTTCCTTTTTAAAACTGCTGAAAGTTTAATTTGATAGCATCTACAGAGGATTAAACTGCACTTAGAGTAACTTAATTAGCTTTTTAGAGATTTAAGTGAAGTTTAAAATAATGGAATAATTTAAAATATGAAGATTTGATATCTGAAAAATAAATTTAATTATTTGATACCAAATTCAGAGGCGATGCATCTGCTTTGGAACTTGTACACACGTTCTTGTGTTTTTCTATTGAAAATAAGTAATTTACCAAAACAAAAGGATCGTGGCTTATGACAGCATAATAGTCCTAACGATAAAGGCATTATTTTAAACTTTGCCACTTCCTGTGCTGTTCTTTATTGTATTTGTGGGTGATACGCTGGGGGAATTATTTTGTTTCTTTTGATCTCCCAATTTATTTAAGGGCTTCTTGAGGGTGGGGGTGGGGGTGGTCAGACACTTTTGTTAGAACCATGTGAATGGCATTGTTTTTTCTGTATTGCAAATTAGTATTTCTACCACTCTCCCCAGGCCTACACGCCCAGACACACACATACCCAACCAAAAAAATCTCCCAAGCTCCTCTCTTAGGTATGTTTCCTTATTATTCAGTTTTTCTGGGAACAGCTGATTGCATAAGAATATAGAGCCACCTGCAAGGTGTTAAATAAAATCTCTTAAGAAATTAGGAATAATTTGGATTTGATTAAAATGAAAGTAAATAAAATCAAGAATGTTAGTGAGCGTTTGTCATATAAAACTACCTATAGATACGACTGGTACTGATCCTTGGTTAATAATTTTAGAAATGATTTAGAAATACATTTTTGAAAATATTGAGAATAAAATGTATTAATATAAAGATTTTGGTTCTACTGTTTCAGGGTTGGTCTAAGGATTTTGAGCACTAGTTGAAAAGATGTTTAAAAGGAAGATGTACTCTTTACTGTGTCTTAGGTAAACTAAAAAGTGTGTCTGCATTAGAAAAAAAAAACTGTGACTTGATTAATTGTTAAATTCCCAGTACTTCCCATAGGAATACAATGAAACTTTCATTGTATTACACTCCACTATTCCTTTCTTAATTTATGCCCTGGGTTCCCAAATATTGTTTTCCCCATTGCAACATTTAAAATAGCTATGTTCCTGAGGAAGACAGAGAATTTTCAGTAGAACTTATCTAGTGCTACTTCCTTCCAGGTAAGTCAAAATTTAATAATGGAAATGTAATATATATTAAAAAATACCACTGGTTTGTCCCCGAAACTGTCCTTTTGTAAATCAAAAATTGCAAGAGTCTAAACATAATATCCCAATTTAAAAAAGTAGTTTGAATGAAGTATTAATAGTTAAGCTATTTAAACCTGTTGTTAAATATGTTTAACTCTACCTAGAACTTAGTTTTATTGGAAACTCCTTGTAGTTTGTAACTGACTTTTGTAGTGTTTTTATTTTACCAGGATTACTCTTGAGCTTGATTCATACTAAATTTATCTCCTATATCTAGCAATTTAAATATAAAACAAAAAATCAAGGCAGTTCAGTGTTCCTGTGAGAATTTTAAAATAATTTAGCTGGGTGATTGATTTGAGTAGTGAGAAAGAGAGAAAATGATATGTGTTTGTATGCAGTTTGAGACATTAGTAACTATCAAATTGACTTGTGTTTTTAGAAGTCCTACTGGCTATTCTGTGTTAAGGTAATATGTCAGCAACATAGTATTAACAGAGCCTAACATTTTGTGCTTAAGATACTAAATAATGAAAACCTTTAGTCACTATTAGTTTGGTTTCAACTCAGCATTTACATTTGTATTTATCCTTTGATAATTTGATGAACTTCCTAATTTTTGCTCATATTTGATACAGTACTAAGAATTTGTTTATTAGCCTTCTAAATTAAAGCAAATTGGTGACCAGTTCTTAAAGATGGATTGTTTTAGAATTCTAATGATACTAGCCACTAGCATACAGGTTGAGTGACATGATAACACTAAATGAGGTTTAGGTCATGAAAACAAGTGAAAGTGTTTAAGGTGCCTTTGTAAAGGGATTAAGAGAAGGGAATAATCTTTATCAGATTGCTTTATATAAAAGTATTCATATATTGGTATGATTCTACGTTCTTCAATGTCTCAGGTGAAAACGGTTGTTAACATAACAATAAGAAAAAGGTAATACAATACATGTTCACAGTTGAGAAGGGAAAATTAAGAGTTTGATTAGATGACATAAGTAAGAGAATTAGAGATAGTGTTCATCAGTTAAGTTGTTTTTGTTTTAGAAAGCCTGCTCTTTTTCATGAGTAATGTGGGTACCTTGTTAAAGGAAAGAATATCATGCCCCTTCTTTGACATTATGTCAGTGAAACTCAGGTGACTAAAAGTCTCATACTACTGTGAAACAAGATTTGTACATTATATAAAATATCAAAAATAGCAATATTCAAATAATACCAATCTATAGAAAAATAATCTTTAAAATATTTTTGTCCTTTAAAATTAGTGTTCAGATGGCTTTGTTGCTGTGGTACCGATTCTTTGCTTCTGATATTTGTATGTTATTATGTCTTACGTGATTGAGTTTCCTCTTCAGATTAGTGTGAAAGCAATTAAAATACTATTTATCCTTCTTGACTATTATTCACACAGTAAAGTTGCCTCTTATATCACGATGAGGAAACTAAACTAGTAACTGTCATCACTGTGATGAGGAGGGGAAGGGTGGACCCTTACTTGGTAGTGTACACTTACAAGACTCTTATTTTGACCATTCGGTATAGGCTTACTAGTAGTATTTTAGTTGAAAATGGTTAAAAAAAAAAAAAGAAAAGAAAATGGTACACATTTTGAACTGTCTGACCTAGCCAATACTCTAATCCATTTTCTCCAGTAATATAATATAGTGGTTAAGTGCATTATCAGGTAGTTCTGGGTGCTAACATTAGGTCTTTTACCTATTAGTTACTTAGACTTTGGGAAGGTTACTTAATCTCAGTGAATTTTCTTGTCTGTGAGATGAGGATGGAGCACTATGCTAATACTAATGAGAAAAGCACTGTTAATATTAAATTATCTGTTAAATTGGTATCCTTGATCATGTTACAGCTGTTTAATATGAGTTAGCTAATTATGTTCAAATCCAGTAAGTCAGGAAGATTCTGATAGATTTACAAAAAGACAAAAAGTGATAGATTCAAAAATAAAAGTGAAAACTGATTGAATCAGAATATAAGGCAACTTTATGGAGAGCATAAAGACAGAAAAGAGAATAAGGAATTGAGATGTCAGCTCTGACTTATGCATGTGGCCAACTTACTTTGTATTATACGTAGCAGTGTTTTAATTCTAATTTTTCTTGAAAAGATTGAGCCTCTCCCCTCCACTATTTCCTTTGTATTTAAGGAACAAAACTTACTACAACATTCAAAGATATTGGGAGAGCATGAAATAACAAGATGATGAAACAATATTTAAAGCCAGGTATCATCAGATTACAGTTGTTTGTGAGGATAGAAGGAAATAATGATATGAAAATCCACAACTCATATTTGCCCTTAGGTATTTTGAAGGCAGTTTGAATATCTGCTTATTTGAGCTTGATAATAAGCATATATGATTTATAGAAGGAAGGCACCGAAGTCAATAATTCTTCTTATAAGTGTTAGCATCTTTCATCAATGAATAAATTTTCTCTTTAAAAAGATGAGCAATTTGAATCTTTTTCATGAAGTTTACCAGTTGATAAAGTGGAGAAAGTACAGAAGGAGTCATTGGATACTGTTTGAATCTAACAGATTCAGCACCTAGCTCAGAAAGTTCATGTCAGGAGAATTTGCACAGATAATCTGTGAATAGATAAACCAGTTTATAAGTAATAGAAATGATGCAGATTTAAGTTACTAGTGCTGCCATCACCTTTTCCATTGCTTAGATGTGATTATTACCATCAAGAACCAGTTTTCCCACCCTTCCTCTTTCCGTTCTCCCTCCCGTCTCCCCCTTCCTCAGACCTCTCCTCCACTTATCTTTTTGGCTTCTGTGTTCTTGTATTGATATTTAACACATTAATTTGAGTACTTAGCTAGAATGTCTCTATCAAAAAGTAGGGGCTCTGAAGTCCAAGTTCTCAATTTTGGTCAGCCAGTCTCATGATACCAGTAGTTCAATAACCAACATCTGCTGCTCTTGGAGAGTCTTCCAGAGCATCAGGGAAGGGTGGCGGGAATTGCCTGCAGCTCACCCTGAGGACACAGACACTGGTGGCACACACAGTTGGGAACACTTCACCAGGCGAACACCTCTGCTGTCGGCCGCCGTGCATCCTGCCCCTTTAGACTCAGAACACATTTCTTGTTAAACAGGCAGCTTTATGTAGTGTGTTCAGCACAGATGTATATGATATAGGTTAGTCTTTATTTTGTTTATTTCTGTTGTAATTGTTCTCATCTTCTATACTCTTGTGGTTGTTCAGTTTAAATTTTAGGTTTAAAATTCTTCAAAAAGACACCTTTAATTTGAAATACAGTTGCCTAATACAGTGGAGATTGTATATGACTTTTCTGGACATTTTTCTTTAAAGAGAACATTTCACTGTAACTCTGAGACAAGAACTGTTGTCTTTCATTTTATAGATGTTGGAGCAAGTATCAAAATTCTGTAAATCTGGTACAAAAGCACATGGTCTTAATTTCTGTACTATTTGAATATGAATGCTTAGTAAGTAAATCAGCACTGTGTCCGACTTTGTTTTTCCTCCCAGTCCCTTTCATCATCTTTTAGGTACCTTTATTATCTTTTACTTTACTACCTCTTGTCTGTGAGTGATTTCTTAGGCTTCATCTTTCTTTGTAGGATTTTCTTTCATTCTTTGCACCAAAGACCTCTTTGAGGAGACTGTGAGAGTATTTCTTAGGTATCTAGAAATCCAGTTTTAGGAAAGGTGAACTTCGTAGTCAGAAATTATATTGAGGCTTAATCATACCTGCATGCTTATCTGTTCTCCTCTTCTGTCTTCTAGTTTTGATGAGTGACGACTTACGTACAAAAATGTTATTTCTTTTTCATCTTGTACCCTCAGCCTTCAGTGTGAAATCATTTACTTCTGCCTAAAGTACATTGTTTAGGATTTACTTTAGTAAAGATTTTACTTCAGTAGATTTATGTTACTTTTCTTGGTGACTGATTTTCGTCTGAAAAGATTTCATTTTTGTATTCTGCTTTATATGGCATTTCCAAGTCCCACTCTACAATCCAAGATTCTACAGCGGAAATTAGTCCCCTCCTCAGCTGTTGGGTTTCTTTGTGCACACACTCTAAGCTGAAGTTTCTTCCTTTACTTTATTTATTCTCTAGAAATACGGGTTGATATCATTCATTGCTGAGGAACCTCCTCCTGTTCTTTACTGCTGTATTTGTTTACCTCCCTCATTATAGTTTGGGGGGCTTCCTGGTAGCTCAGATGGTAAAGAACCTGCCTGCATGCAATGCAGGAGAGTTGGGTTAAATCTCTGGGTCGGGAACATACCCTGGAGAAGGGAATGGCAACTCACTGCAGTATTCTTGCCTGGAGAATCCCATGGGCAGACTAGCCTGGCGGGCTACAGTCCTTGGGGTTGCAAAGAGTCAGATGGGACTGAGCGACTAACACTCATTATGGTAATTTTAACATAAGGATCTAAAAGGGAAGGAAGATAGACTTGTGTGCTTAATTGACAATATTGGAATAGAAGTCTTTGCCAGTCATGTATGAACTTACTGTGATGCACAGATAAAACCGCCTCCTACTTCAGCACTTGGATTTTTCTGAGATTAGACCTTAGAGACTCTTAAGACTTTTTTCATTTCCCAGCATCAGTCAGTCATTCCTCAGATTCCTGAGGTTCATTAACTTAGATTTTGAGTTGCAGACTGTTAAGATTTTCTCTTATATTCTAATTTAAATAATTGGTAATTTCAGGAGTCTTTTTACTATTTTATTTATGCTGTAACCTTCTGCTTACCAGAAGTAATTGTAAAACTTAAAATTGTTTAGCAGTATTTCTAATGTTCTTCCTTGGCCTCTGTGTAAGATCATTATTCTTCATTTTCGTTTTGACTTCAGTGTGTTAGTTCTTCAGAAAAACTGTATGTTGGTAATGTAATTAGTGTCCTTGTGTGCCTGAAAATATTTTTCTTAGGTTTCATATCTTGGGCCTTTGTAGGTGGCTGAGAAGTTGGGATGTTTGCCCTAGTAGATAAACTTTCAGTGTTTAACTTTCAGAAAGGTGAATCTTTTCTCAGTTTGCTTTAGGTTCTTGGGTGGTGTGTTGTTTCGTTTGCTTGTTTTTGCTACACCACAGGGCTTGCGCAATGAAAGCACTGAGTCCTAACCACTGGACCACCATGTAATTCTCAGGTTCTTGTTCTTTTATTTTTTTAGCATTACAATAAATGAACTAGTTTATCAGCTCTATAGTTTGAAGAGTTAAGTTTCAGAGGGACTTTGAGTATGCCTCTGTATCACTAGTAGTCCTTGTTTAGTTTTTGAGATAAACCAGTAGAAAATTTGGTTTGTTTGATGCAGGCCATCATTATATACATATGTACTACTCACTGTCTCATAGGATCATATCTTAAACTAATTTTAATTTACATTTTCTGCAGTTTTGTTTCCAGTTAATTCTTTTCTTCGAAACTCTTCAGTGGTGAAACTGATGGCTTTCAAAGTTTTTCTATAGGAAGAAAGACATGTCACTGCCATTATTGGGAACGTGCTCATTGTAACACCTGTTTAATTACACATTACCTGTTTGGTTATACATTAACTGATTAAACTCTAGAAGTTATATTTCATATTTTACCAAATTTAGTTGTCTTGAGAAAAGCTTTCTAGTACTATCTTCAGAAGCATGGATTGAGTTGGATCCCCTACAGCTTGCACAATGCCTTCAGTGTAGTTTGGATGGCCAGTAAATATTTGAATGAACTGGTATGTGAAAACATAGTTCCCCTTTTCATTAGTCATAAATTGAGCAGGAATTAAGAAATAGAGGGACTGTAGATCCTTTCTTACTGGTAATAACTATGAATGAAATAAAAAGAATTAGGAAAACTCTTTTCAGAATGGAAAAGAGGAAAATGTATCTTGTATTTCACGTCTTAAGAGCTGTTAGGATGAAATTTATAATTGAAAAATATACTTGAATGTAATTAATTTTGGCTTGGTCATAGTTACCATTCTAGGTCACTGTCTAACTGAATTCATCTCTGAATGTTAGTTGACATTGCTCAAGTTTCTTGCTGTGGTCTGGTGATTGTTGAAACTTTATTTCTCAAGCAATAATATAATTCATACTTTTACATAGCTTAGGTATTTTATCCAAGAAGCAGCTGTTATTTTTAAATACAGTAAAGTTTGGAATATACTATTCTTTGGTGATTTAATTTTATGCTAAAATTTAAACTGTATAACTGTTGCTCGTGCTTTATTTATACAGAATATCCCCCGAATCCTAAATCTAGAACTCAAAGGATGCTGGTCATTAAGAAAGGTAATACAAAAGACTTACAACTATCTGGATTCCCAGTGGTAGGAAATCTTCAGTCACAGCCAGTTAAGAATGGGACTGGTCCAAGTGTTTATAAAGGCTTAGTTCCTAAACCTGCTGCTCCACCTACAAAAGTAAGTTCTAAATTGTTAAATATGCAAGTTATAAGTTGATATCAACTGAGTTACTTTGGCCAAAAAAATATTGAAAAATTCACATCAAAGTGGGGAGGGTATTGGTGGGCTGCTGATTTCTGAGTGGAAAGTGTTGGGCCGTTGTGTATCCTTAATTACCTTTTAAGTGGTTTGTGTGTTTGTGTATGTTTTCTTGTTTTAGTAGTCAGTAGTAAATGAAATTTGTAAATACTTGTTTGCCAGATGCATCTGTGATATATTTGCTTAATAATGGTTTAAAATGCTGTCCTTCATCTTCAGTTTTAGGCTTTTGGAACTCTCACTTGTGTTTTCTTTGTATTAGGCAAGAGAAACCTAACTTAAGGTTTATAAAACTTGGGGAAAAAAGCAAGGTAGTTAAATGTTTCATCTGAATATCAGATTTTGATTTTATTTGTTAAAAAAAAAAAGGAGGAGAACCATGTAGAAATGATTAAGATACAATACAAAATAATTTTTTTAAAGTCGTATTTAGTCATCTTTATTTTATAGTATTCACTTTGTTCTCTCTCTCCTCTATGCAGTCTGTTTAGATACACATTAATTAATGTTTATGTGTTTTTTCTTTAGCCTACACAATGGAAAAGCCAAACTAAAGAAAATAAAGTTGGGACTTCTTTCCCTCATGAGTCTACATATGGTGTTGGCAACTTTAATGCTTTTAAATCAACTGCCAAGAATTTTAGTCCATCAACAACTTCAGTGAAAGAGGTATGGCATTTAATAAAAGTACTTCTGAGGAGCCAGTTTATCTCAGTCATGATAATTTATTATCTCAGTCATGATAATTTAATTAACAGTGAACAAAAGGCATAGATTCATTGAATAGATTCATTAAAGTAAGAGACTTTAGTTGTTCCAGAATTCAGATACTTTCTGTTTGCTAACTAATTTTGCAATTTAAGGAGGGATAATTTTAAAATTTCTAACAAAATGTCCAAATAACCTAAAGTGTAGAAAATTCTGTGGCAAAATAAACATGTGTAACCCATTAACCAGAAAGAGTGGCTTTAAAAAAAATTATTTATTTTTGGTTCTGCTGGGTCTTCATTGCTGTGCAGGCTTTTCTTGAGTTTTGGCAAGCAGGGGCTACTCTCTAGTTGCAGTGCCCCGGTTTCCCTTGTGGAGCACGGGTTCTAGGGTGCTTAGGCATCAGTGGTTGCCACATGTGGGCTCAGTAGTTGGAACTCCTGGTCTCTTGAACACAGGCTCGGTAGTTGTGGTGCACAAGTTTAGTTGCTCCTCGGCATGTGGAATCTTCTGGATCAGGGGTGGAATCCGTGTCTCCTTCTAAGTCGTGTCCAACTCTTTGTGACCCCATAGATGTAGCCCACCAGACTCCTTTGTCCATGGGATTTCCCAGGCAAGGATACCGGAGTGGGTTGCCATTTCCTTTTCCAGGGGATCTACCCGACCCAGAGATTGAACCCACGTCTCCTGCTTGGCAGGCAGGTTCTTTACCACTGAGCCACCAGGGAAGCCCCAGAAAGAGTAATTTTTAAGAAAAGAATTATGAAAACAGATGTTTTTACTTTTGTCATAAAGTTATGTTATGATGTAGGATTAAACCTTGACTTAAAAATGAGGATTTATATACTCTTCTTTTGGGGATGATGGACATTTTATTAGTATTAACACTCGGGGCAGAGAAGAGGAAGAAGAAAGATGCATATTTACTGACTTTGAATACTTAGTAGCTTACACATTTCTTTCTCATTTGGCCAGCTTTCTGAAACTTCTAGATCAGGGACTTCCTGACCAGTTCAGGGACAAAAGACACTTGTGACTATATTGTAATAACTGAGATTGTTCTGGGTACTATATTGGAGTATTATAACCCCTCATTGACTAGTTCTCATCATAGAATTTTAGAGCTGTGCTAGAAGGACCAGCATTCTCAGCTGGTTAATTATGGCTTCAATTCATTATAGTCTGCAGATGTTATTGCTAAGTTAAGCATTTTGATTTATTCCCAAGGCTTAAAATTCCTGTGACATAGAATTCCAGCATTCTCTTTCCTTCTGTGTTCCACTCTCAGTATATGAAAAATAAAAGGACTCCAGTACATGTCCCTTTCCCACCCTCCTCTGCTCTTCCACAAAACTTCCCTTGTGAAATCCTATGTGATAAACCCTTAGTGTACCTGTGCATAAATAATTATACTAGTTCGTTTTAGAAGCTATTATTAGAACCTTTGAACTCTGTGGAACATAATTTTTAAAACTGCTTTTTAAAAAATATATATAAAAATATTTAAACAATTTCAGGATCCATTTTATAAAATAGTATTTAAATCTCCTAATTTAGAATGACAGGTCTTAGTATTATCAGACTTTGTTTCTCGGATAAGAAAGATTTTATATTTAGTCATTCAGTGAGATAGATAAAAATAACAAGGATAGTGGAAAATAGAATTTAAAATCAATTTTGTATATTGTGAAGAAAGTGAAATAGCCATTATAGTTGTGAACTTTACGTTGACATTAGTACTCTATGTATTTATCAACATTCTAAATTTTTTTCTTAGTGTAATCGCTCAAATTCTTCTTCACCTGTTGACAAACTTAATCAGCAGCCTCGTCTAACCAAACTGACACGAATGCGCACAGATAAGAAGAGTGAGTTTTTGAAAGCATTGAAAAGGGACAGAGTGGAAGAGGAGCATGAAGATGAAAGCCATGTGGGCTCAGAAAAGGTAATTGAAGGTGTATGTAATTCTTGGCTTGACGTTAGCATGTCATTGGAGTCATTGGGCAGATGTTATTTAGGATCTTTGAATATTTTCATATTTCTGAAAGCAAGGCTAGCTAGCTCTTTGCATAAATAATGAATTCCTTTCTGAATAGATTTTTCTTACTCTAGTTGCTGTGCAAAAATGAAATTTAAAAACATTCCTGTTGATATTTGTACTTTTGGTTTTCCCCATCTTGCCTATCTTTATCCTTTTAATTTTGTTTTTGTTGAATAGATGTGAATACTTGAAGTTAGAAAATTGCCTTCACAACTTAGTTTTACATCTTCTGAAACTGTTTTCTTCATGATTATATAAGCATTACTGTTACGTTTTATCCATGAAAATCTAACCAGGATCTATTAAAGTTGCCTTTTTAAATAACTATCTCTAATTTTTTTTTTTTAACTCTTCAAAAATCAGGATGACGACTCATTTAATTTGCATAACAGCAATAGTACTCACCAAGAAAGGGATATAAATCGAAACTTCGATGAAAATGAAATTCCACAAGAGAATGGCAATGCCTCGGTAATTTCCCAACAGATCATTCGGTCTTCAACCTTCCCACAGACTGATGTTCTTTCTAGTTCACTTGAAGCAGAACACAGGTTGGTGTTTTTACTTTTTTCTCTACCCAAAATTTTGATTTTGTATGGAAAATTGATTTCTTTAACAGCTTCATTGAGATATAATTTATATACTCTTAATTTCTTTACTCAGTTTGTTAATTTGGGGTATATTTGAAGTTGTATAGCTGTCACCACAGTCTAATTTCAGAACATTTCTTTATTCCATAAAGAAACCCCATGCTCATTTACAGTTACTCCTCATTGTTACTGTCTTTCCTGGGTAACCACCAGTCTACTTTCAGTAATACTTTCAAGGTTCATCCATATTGTAGCATGTGTTTCTCTGAAAACTGAGTGCTGTTTATTTTCCATGGCTTTAGATTTTCTGTAAATCTCTTTTGGGTGGGGGCGGTGGGTGGAGAGGAGGGGGAGGCTTGTGGGATCTCAGTTTCCCAACCAGGGATCGAACCCAGCTCTCAATAGTGAAAGCCTTAATCCTAACCACTAGACCACTAGGGACCTCCCTGTAAACTTTCTTAAGTTACATACATATTTAAGTACTCATGTTGCTTGATTTAAAAAGTTACATGTCAGTGATACAGTTCTCAGGATTACTTTTTTTGTTCAAATGTGTAAATTAAAATTTAAAATGAAATAATTTCACACATATATTACTAGTTATTATCAAGTTTCAGTATACCATCACAGTATTGAGGATAGTTTCAACATCAGAGAGGTAATTGTTACCTTGTTTAAGCACCAAATGAATTAATAGAAATGAGTGCCAGAGAAATTCAAAGGAATTTGGGGTTAGATAGCATTATGGCTTGAGTACCAGTTTGAAGATTTTAGTTGGGACCTAAATTAAATCTTAAAGGGTGAGACAATACAGGCAAGGGTACTGGGTAGTCATTCTGAAATGGGGGTATGAAAGGATGTTTAGAGTAGAATATATGCATGGTTTGTTTTAGGGGTGATGTATAGCATATCTTGACAAGTGTGTGGAGTCCTAAATGGAGTTAGAGATACATTGCAAAGGCAAGGCTTTAGAGATCTAGTCAAACTCTTTGAATGCTTCAGATGAAGAAGGAGCTCTGTCTTATACCTGGTTTTTGATAAGAGTAGGATTTGTGACCCAGGTCTTCGACTCCTAGTGCTATGCTTTTTCTAATGTAAGGAATTTGAATTTGTGGTCGTTGTGTGTTACGGAGTTTGTTCTTTTAGGAATTGGGAAGCTGTTGAAAATATTTGGCAGAGGGTGATAATTGTGAAAGTAGTATTAGAGTGATTTGATAATAGTTGGAAAGAGAATGAGAAGAAATGCTAATGGAAAGGCAAAGTGCAGATCACTGTTATGATCTATTCCTAATTGTGGGGTTTAGTCCAGAGACCAGAGTTTGGTGCAGTGTATATTAACTTGGGAGGCAGAAAACCAGAATTCTGCTTCTTTGCTATCAAGTAGGCAAAATTTTTTACTTATATGATCATGGTTGTTCATCTGTAAAATGTGGGTATACTGTGTTGTTGCTCAGTTGCCAAGTCATGTCTGAGTTCACAACCCCATGGACTGCAGCATGCTAGGCTTCCTTGTCCTTCACTGTCTCCTGGAGTTTGCTCAAACTCATGTCCATTGAGTCAATGATGCCATCCAACCATCTCATCATTTGGTGCCCCCTTCTCCTGCCCTCAATCTTTCCCAGCATCAGGCAGGGTCTTTTCTAACGAGTTGGCTGTTCGCATCAGGTAGCCAAAGTATTGGAGCTTTAACAGTAGTCCTTCCAGTGAGTATTCAGGGTTGATTTCCTTTAAGATTGACTGGCTTGATCTCCTTGCTGTCCAAGGGACTCTCAAGAGCATTATCTAGCATCACAATTTGAAGGCATCAGTTCTTCATCATTCTGTCTTCTTTATGGTCCAGCTCTCACATCCATGCATGACTACTGGAAAGACCATAATCTTGACTATATGGACCTTTATCAGCAAAGGGATGTCTTTGCTTTTTACTGTACTGTCTAGGTTTGTCATAGCTTTCCTGCCAAGAAGCAGTCGTCTTTTAATTTCATGGCTGCAGTCACCATCACAGTGATTTTACAGCCCAAGAAGAGGAAATCTGTTACTGCTTCCACCTTTTTCCATTGTATTTGCCATGAAGTGATGGGACCAGATGCCATGATCTTAATTCTTGTAATACCGAGTTTTAAGATGGCTTTTTCACTCTCCTTTACCCTCATCAAGAGGTTCTTTAGTTCTTCTTCGCTTTCTGCCATTAGACTGGTATCATTCACATACCTGAGGTTGTTGCTATTTCTCCTGGCAATCTTGATTCCAGCTTGTAACTCGTCCAGCCTGCCATTTCGCATGATGTTCTCTGTGTATAAGTTAAATAAACAGGATGACAATAAACAGCCTTGTTGTACTCCTTTCTTAATCCTGAACCAGTCAATTATTCCATAAAAGGTTCTAACTGTTGCTTCTTGACCTGTGACAGGTTTCTCAAGAAACAGGTAAGATGGTTTGGTGTTCCCATCTCTTTAAGAGTTTTCTACAGTTTGTGATGCTCCACACAGTCAAAGGCTTTAGGTGAAATTGTGGGTATATTTCAAGTCTCTGAGCACTGATTTTTTGATGAGATTGTTTGACAGTATATAAAGATCTACAAAGTAGTCAATTTGTGACAGGTTCAGTTTGAAAAATGAGTTAGGTGTAAAAAGGAGTAACAAGTGCTTAAGGGATGTAATTATTTAAAAAACAAAAACAGAAGTAGAAAACCTAATGAATAACTAAGAACATGATGAACTGTAGTGGCCCTAAAGAAATGGGGAGGTGTGTTGCTTCTATTTTTAGTATAAGAATTTAGCAAATTTTCTTCAGTTTTTAGCCTAAAAGAACCTTTTGCAGGTTTCCAGCCTTAGAGAACCTCTTACACCAAAGATAATTAGGCATTTCATTCTGATCTTATTATTTAAAACAGTTTATTGGGCATAATCTTACCTATTCACTTTCAGAAAGATATTTAAAGCATAAACCCTAACATCTTTTGTGCGGATTTTGTATAATGGATCATGTTTTCTTGCACATAATATAAAAGGACTTAATTTGGGTGAAATTTTAAATTAAATTTATTCATTTCCATTCCTTTCCAGACTGTTAAAGGAGATGGGTTGGCAAGAAGACAGTGAAAATGATGAAACATGTGCACCCTTAACTGAGGATGAAATGAGAGAATTCCAAGTTATTAGTGAACAGGTAAGAATTGAATCATGTAAGCTCACTTTAAAAATAGCCCTTTCTTAATCAGAACAACATATAACTAAGCATTTTTAAGGGGTGAGGTTAGACATTTTATTTAGGGATTTGTTGAGCGTCACATTGTAGGTCAGATTTGCCTTTGTTTTAAATAGGTCTGCAAGGCTGACTTCTTTAAATCCATGGATCTGCAGTGCTTAGAAATTAGTGTAAAGAATGTATCTGATTTATCATTTACCAGGCATTTAAAAAATGACTTGGTGTGATAACTAGAAAACAACAGTAGCTTTCTCAGATGTAATTTCATCTTTTATCCTTTTCTTGGCACAGGAATTTTGATATCCTAAATGTCTTTTTTTTTTTTTTTTAAATTTCTGCATAGTTGCTTTTTTGAAAGAGTTATTATTTAGTCACTAAGTTGTGTCTGACTCTTTTGACCCAGTGAACTGTAGCCCTTCTGGCTCCTCTGTCCATGGGATTTCCCAGGCAAAAATATAGGAGTGGGTTGCCATTTTCCTTCTCCAGGTCATCTTCCTGACCCAGGGATCAAACCTGATCTCCTATGTTGGCAGATGAATGCCGCTGAGCAACCAGGGAGTATTCCTTAGAAGTTGTATGCTAGAGTTGAGGGAAATCTCAGGGAGTTTTTCAAATTTTTTTTCAAATCCATTGTACTTTTTGAAAATAGTTCTGGTCATACAAAAGTGATTTTCTATATAGAAGTATTATCAATGTTAATAATCTTCAAAACACTTTTCACATGCTTTGAATGAAATTTTTGAGGAAATTAGTTATATTTACTTAATAGATTCATCATCCTAATTAAAAATTTGTGCCAAAATGCAAATAGCATAAAATTTACCATTTAAATCATTTTTAAGCATACGGTTCTATGGCATTTAGGTACATTCATATTGTTATGCAGATGTTACCACCACTCACCTCCACAGCTCTTTTCATTGTTAAAACTGAACCTCTGTACCTACTAAACCATGACTATTCCTTGTTCCTCCCAACCCTTGGAAACCACCGTTCTGCTTTCTGTCTCTATGAATTTGACTCCCTTAGCCCCTTATGTAAGTGAAATCATGCAGTATTTGTCCTTTTGTGACTGGCTTATTTCACTTAGCAGAATGTCTTCGAGTTTCATCCATGTTGTAGCACGGGTCAATCAGAATATCTTTTTTCAGAGACACAATAATCCATTATATGTGTACGTACCACATTTTGTTTATCCACGTGTCCATTGATGGACACTTGGGTTGCTTCCACCTTTTAGCTGTTGTAAATAATGTTCCATGAATATGGGTGTATAGATATCTATATCTATCTATCTATCTACATGGCTATAGATCAGTAAGTAGTGTCTCTTTCTCTGTCTCTCTCTCTGTGTATATATACACACACCCCCTCCCCCAAAATATTAGAATATATATGTGTATATATATAAATGGTTTGGTATGCTGTAAATGCAGCTCTCCCAAGAGTAGTGATTTATTCCTAGGAAATATTTTGTTATATTGGTTTGATCTATAATTACCTATATGACTAGTTTTTCAGAAATGATACCATAATCTGTGGAGTTTTATTTCCCTTTATTGTATTCTTGGTTACATTTAATTATTAGAGCATTCTTAGTTTGTAGTAACTCTTGGAAGATGATTTATTTATTCATTTTATTTCTGTTTATATTTTAGTTACAGAAGAATGGTCTGAGGAAAAATGGTATTTTGAAAAATGGCCTGATCTGTGACTTCAAGTTTGGACCCTGGAAAAACAGCACTTTCAAACCCACTATTGAGAATGAGGACACAGAGACAAGTAGCAGTGACACATCGGATGACGACGATGTGTGAAGGATTTCCTAACAGCTTTAGAGTTATAGTGTGATACATCTCTCATACAGTTTGGGGTGAATTGTAAAAATGAAGAACTATAATTTATGTAGTAAAATACCCCATTAGAAGATGATTTTTTTGGGGGACTTCAATATGAAGAAAACCAAGAATGTTGTGTTGGGCTGTGTTGAACATTATTTCTTTGTAAATGAATGTTGTAGAAATGAGGACTTTGGTTGATCCAACATTGACTTTCTTCATCACTGCAGCATTTCTCTGACTAGCAATGTGACGATGTAACAAATGAGAGTTTCTCATTTAATAATAAAAAAATTGTGTAATGTTTTGCAAAGCTTCTGTCTTAAAATGTCCAGGTCTTAAGAAAAAAGGCAGCTTACACTGTTCTGCTTGCAGAGTCATATCTTTTCGTACAATGGAAATCCTCAAGTCCACTTTGTGTGGCGCTGTCCCCAGCCGCCCCCCCCCCCCCCCCCCCCCCCCCCCCCGCCTCCAAAAAAGGACAATGTAGCATGTTGGCTAAAACTGGAGCAAAGTGCACTAAAACTAAAACGTTAATCTCCTGAACTCAACTGTTGTGCTAGTCACGTTTTAAAACATAAATTGCTCTTTAGCCATGTGTAGTTCAGTAAATATAACAGGAAAGACTTGCCACACTTTCTTCCAAATTTAAGGAGGTGATTTTCAAGAGCTTTATTTGGGTATGTTGTAAGACCAGGATTTTCAGAGTTGATGGGAAAGAGTCTTGTGGGAAAACTTATTTTGATAAATTATTACACATGCAGAAAACTGATCACACTGACTGGATCTGTCCACATGGAAAATAAACTGGATTTTCAGAATATTGTCGTTCTTTGTAGTGTTCAAGATATTGGTCTCTAAACACATTGTGGTTTATTCACTTTTTAAAACAAAGTTACACTTTATTTATTTCTTTATGGTGATTACTTTTGAGTTTAGAAAAAGAAAACTAGTTAAAATAGCCCTTTTATTATCAACTGCTTAAGTTTATTGAACGAATGGTAAGAAACCACTTTATTTTTCATTTGCACGTTAATAATAGAGTTATTTCTCTTTACTGCTCACTGTAAGAGTAAATTTGCTCTTTTTTTTTTAGTATTTTTGATTGTTCTGATTTTGTTTACCCACATTTGCTTTTAGCTTCTTCCATCCCACTTCCATGTTTAAATATATTCTGATTGTAAAGAGCATAATCTTAAAGCAATAATGTTTAAAGTTAACATCCTCAAGATGTTTTCTCAGAAAGCTGCAGTGCTTTTGCTGTTTCCATTTCAGTAATCCTATGCAGGTTCCCCAGCTTTCACCAGAAGTCAGATTTTTTGGTTCATACCGAGACTGCTGGTGATGGGGAAATTTAAACAAAACACAGGTTTCACCCCCACAAAACTTATGAGGATGGGTTCAAGTGGATATAGTATCAAATATATCTTAAAATTTATCTTTTATAGTAGGCTTTTATTATATAATATGCCATAAATCAGTCTAATTACTTAAAGTGAAAGGTAGCATTAGCCACAAGTAAACTGAAACAAAGCTCTGTCAGTATCATATTGAATGTTTTTGGAACTCTTAGATTGCACTGATTGGTTTATGGCTTAATGAAATCTATCAGATGCAAATTGTATTTGCTAACACAAGGTCAAAGGGATCTGAAAAATGTGGTTTATGTTTGAAATTAATTTCTTGTGTTTTCTAAATAGCTTTTAGAAAAGATTATATAATTTTCTATTTTTTGTCATTTTCTGTTTTCTATTCAGATAATTTTGCCTTAAGTCTCATTTTCCAGCAGCTACTGTTTGTTGTGTGTTCACACATTGTGATATCGAGTGTTTCCATTGTAAGATACAATGGTATGGTTATTCTATGTATTTAATGATAGCATTAGCTAGTTTGGCTACTGAGTTGATGGAGCCATATGGATGCATTTTGATAGAATGTTTAAAGCATAGCATGATTTTAACTTGCTCTTGAAATATGGGCAGCTGGTAGAGTTTGGACTGTATTGTTTGAAAGAGAGCCCATGAGTATTATGGAAACTAGTTAAATTGTACATCGGGTGTGAAATTGTCAAACCCAGGATGTGGAGGCCTGGGGGGAGAAGTTGCTGCTTTTAATTGCTTCAAACTGTTTCTCTGCAGCAAGTTCTTTTTTACAACCACTTTATTGCGGTATAAATTGGCATAAACTACATATTTAAAGCATATAGTTTGATTATCTTTGCCTTGTGAAACCATTGCTGGAGTCAGGGTAGTGAATATATATGTCACGCTGAGAAGCTTTACGTTTCCTCCTTTATAATCTTCCCCTTTTACTACTACTGATACCCCCTCTCCCCAGCCTTTTTTTAATGAGCAGAATTCTTACGGTAATGGGTTAAAAAGAGCATTTCCAAAATTATATCTTGTCTTATATTCAGGATTATGGTAACTTTTATTTCCGCAAATATATTTTTATTAAAGTTGAAATAAACATAGAAATGTTAATCTAAAAAAATCAGATTTGATATCAGATCAGATTCAGGTTGACCTTACTAAAATTCAGTGTGTTGAAGGGCTTGGTATCTATAAACATTTTAAATTTCTTTGCTAGTGTTTGTACTGTTGTTAGAACATTATTACATAAGCATTTTAAACTTACTTAGGGATAAGTTTAAATACTAATAATGTCCTGAATAACTTCTGTTCAGTCACTCAGTCGTGTCCGACTCTTTGCAGCCCCATGAACCACAGCACGCCAGGCCTCCCTGTCCATCACCAACTCCTGGAGTTTACTCAAACTCATGTCTGTTGAGTCAGTGATGCCATCCAACCATCTCGTCCTCTGTCGTCCCCTTCCCCTCCTGCCTTCAATCTTTCCCAACATCAGGGTCTTTCCAAATGAGTCAGCTCTTTGCATCAGGTGGCCAAAGTTGGAGTTTCAGCTTCAGTATCAGTCCTTCCAGTGAACACCCAGGACTGGTTTTCTTAAGGATGGACTGGTTGGATCTCCTTGCAGTCCAAGGGACTCTCAAGAATCTTCTCCAACACTCCAGTTCAAAAGCATCAATTCTTCGGCACTCAGCTTTCCTTATAGTCCAACTCTCACATCCATACATGACTACTGGAAAAACCATAGCCTTGACTAGACGGACCTTTGTTAGCAAAGTAATGTCTCTGCTTTTTAATATGCTGTCTAGGTTGGTCATAAATTTCCTTCCAAGGAGTAAGTGTCTTTTAATTTCATGGCTGCAGTCACCATCTGCAGTGATTTTGGATCCCTCCCCCCCAAAAGTCTGCCACTGTTTCCACTGTTTCCTCCATCTATTTGCCATGAAGTGATGGGACCAGATGCCATGATCTTTGTTTTCTGAATGTTGATCTTTAAGCCAACTTTTTCACTCTCTTTCACTTTCATCAAGAGGCTCTTTAGTTCTTCACTTTCTGCCATAAGGTTGGTATCATCTGCATATATGAGGTTATTGATATTTCTCCCGTCAATTTTGATTCCAGTTTGTGCTTCCTCCAGCCCAGCGTTTCTCATGATATACTCTGCATATAAGTTAAATAAGCACGGTGACAATATATGGCCTTGATGTACTCCTTTTCCTATTTGGAACGAGTCTGTTGTTCCATGTCCAGTTCTAACTGTTGCTTCTTAACCTGCATACAGGTTTCTCAAGAGGCATGTCAGGTGTCTGGTATTTCCATCTTTAAAGAATTTTCCACAGTTTATTGTGATCCACACAGTCAAAGGCTTTGACATAGTCAATAAAGCAGAAATAGATGTTTTTCTGGAACTCTTTTGCTTTTTTGATGATCCAGCCAATGTTGGCAATTTGATCTCTGGTTCTGCCTTTTCTAAAACCAGCTTGCACATCTGGAAGTTCATGGTTCACGTATTGTTGAAGCCTGGCTTGGAGAATTTTGAGCATTACTAGCATGTGAGATGCGTGCAATTGTGCAGTAGTTTGAGCATTCTTTGGTGTTGCCTTTCTTTGGGATTGGAATGAAAACACCGTTTCCAGTACTGTGGCCACTGTGGAGTTTTCCAAATTTGCTTACATTAAGTGCAGCACTTTCACAGCGTCATCTTTCAGGATTTGAAATAGCTCAACTGGAATTCCATCACCTCCACTAGCTTTGTTCATAGTGATACTTTCCAAGGCCCACTGGACATCACATTCCCAGATGTCTGGCTCTAGATGAGTGATCACACTACTGTGATTACCTGGGTCGTGAAGATCTTTTTTGTACAGTTCTTCTGTGTATTCTTGCCACCTCTTCTTAATATCTTCTGCTTCTGTTAGGTCCATACCATTTCTGTCCTTTACTGAGCCCATCTTTGCATGAAATGTTCCCCTGGTGTATCTGATTGTCTTGAAGAGATCTCTAGTCTTTCCTATTGTTTTCCTCTATTTCTTTGCATCATCACTGAGGAAGGCTTTCTTATCTCTCCTTGCTATTCTTTGGAACTCTGCATTCAAATGGGTATATCTTTCATTTTCTCATTGGCTTTTTGCATCTCATCTTTTCATGGCTATTTGTAAGGCCTCCTCAAACAGCCATTTTGCTTTTTTGCATTTCTTTTTCCTGGGGATGGTCTTGCTCCCTGTTTCCTGTACAGTGTCACAAACCTCCGTCCATAGTTCATCAGGCACTCTGTCTATCAGATCTAGTCCCTTAAATCTATTTCTGACTTCCACTGTATAATCATAAGGGGTTTGATTTATCCCTTATGATTATACAGTGGAAGTATATATTACTGACTCCCAAAACATAACTAACCTTGACCTGACTTCAGATTCTACCTGAATGATTCATAATCCCTTACCCTAAAACTTTGTTAAAGATGTTTTATCAAATGTGTTCTATTAGAATTCAGCTACCTGGATTAGAAAAGATACTTGTGAAATTTTTCTTTAAAGTGAGGTTTTTATTTTGCCATATAAATTTAGGAATATATTGCTTCTGCTGCTAAGTTGCCTCAGTCATGTCCAACTC